TTAGTGAATTGGGTGAATTCACTGTGAGGCCAGAGGAGAGATTGGAGTGCTATAAAGAGTGGGTGGATTGTGAGGAAATGAGGTCAGTGAGCACAAAAGTATTTCAAGAAGTTTGGCTGTAGAGGGTCTTAAAGAGAGGGAGTAGCTGGAGAGAGAAGTAGAGTTTAGGTCAATTCTCCTTTGTTTTGCTTTTATGATGTGTGAATGTGGGTTGGACAGATCCAGTTCTTTCAACTTTATTATTTGCTTTGTGTAAGTACCAGGAGTAAGGTGCACCAGATAGTAGGTGCAAAAATAAAGTAAAAGTATCCAGAGTTATGCTCAAAAGAGGTATTTCCTAGATTGAATCACATGTTCATTTTCAGAGCCAAGTGCAGCACCTCATACCAGCACTTTAGGAGGCCAAGGCTGGCAGATCACTTAAGGCCAGGAGTTTGTGACCAGTCTGAGCAATATAGCAAGACCTCATCTTTACAAAAAAGTAACATGTTAGTCACGTGAGGTGGCACACACCTGTAGTCCTAGCTACTCAGGACGCTGAAGCAGGTGGATTATTTGAGCTCAGGAGTTGGAGGCTGCAGTGAGCCACGATTGTGCTATTGTGCTCCAACCTGGGCAACAGAGTGAGACCCTGTCTCTAAAATAAACAAACAAACAAACAAAAAAAAACCAAAAAAACATTTCTAAGTACCAAAGGGTTAATTCCCTGTCTTCTGAGAATTTGGGGCACTATTTGTCTGCCCTATTGTTTAGTGGATAGGACCATTGAAAAGGGGGTCTGAGGACCCTAGCGAAAATCATATTCCTAGTAAGTTGCCTTGGTAATCCAGAATTCTTGAGGTGAGTAGGCTGCCTTGGTACTCCAGAATTATTCTCTATGAAAAGAAGCCTTTGCTGTCCCACTATCTTTAAAATTAAGGGGGTTATGAGCCCAGCTAATCAAATTGGTCTGGAGTACTTTAAAACATTAGTTTTTCAAAGCTCTCCTACCCCAGGTGATTCTAATGGGCAGATATTAGCTAACAGACTGGAGGGGCTACAACCATCAAAGATGAACAGTAATAATTAAAGACGCAGCCTTAGTGAAGACCAACCTACAAAAATTAATCATGGACGGATCTATTGGTACCCAACTTTCAAGTTATATTTACCTACAGCTAATTACTTTCTCTCAAGACTGACCTCACAGCTTTCCTAAAATTCAGTGTCCGTGATCTTCTGATGCCTGTCTGACAAGGGGACTCTTTTCACTAGGCTGACATGTTCTCATTTTCCAAATATTGGATTAAACATTGTTTTCCTGGGAGAGTCTTCTCTCACCTCTAATCTGAAGCCAGTCCTATACTCTGGTTGTTCTCAATAACTTCAGATCTAGCCTGGCTGAAACATACCACTATGCTTTTTTCCTGAATACTCCAAATAGGACTTTCAGGGTTTGTTGTTGTTGTTTTGAGACACAGTCTTGCTCTGTCACCCAGGCTGGAGTGCAGTGGCACAATCTCGACTCACTGCAACCTCCGCCTCCCAGGTTCAAGTGATTCTCCTGCCTCAGCCTCTGGAGTAGCTGGGATTACAGGTGCGTGCCACCATGCCTGGCTATTTTTTGTTTGTTTTTTTAGTAGAGACAGTGTTTTGCCACGTTGGCCAGGCTGGTCTTGAAATCCTGACCTTAGGTGATCTGCCCTCCTCAGCCTCTGAAAGTCCTGGGATTACAGGCGTGAGCCACTGTGCCTGGCTGACCTTTCAGTTTTGTCAAAATGATCTGACTTTAAAGAAGGGCATTCAGGGGAGGTCTGATTGTACATCTCACATGGTCTCAGGCTGTCTCGCATCAAGGAGAATGTGACTTTACACAGCACATTTGGTATTTAGGTCTGTGGCAAAACATACACAAGGTTATTGAGTAATTAAACATTTAAAGACAAGGATGGGCCTAACCTTTTGAGAGTTTAAAGCCTATAAAGGTAGGAGTAAGCCCAGTGCTGACATGTGCTAGGATTGAGCCAGGATGAGTCATGAGTGAGTCCAGAAGTGTTCTCTCCCATCATTGACATATACTCAGCCCCTTTCCACCCAAAGCACCTCAGTGCCAAGCTTCTCAAGTGTGAGCCCTCTCCCCCAAACAACTGGTCTTCACATGCCACTGTCTGTTGTGGGTGGCTCATTGTTAACAGAGCTTCTTTACGGCTGGGAGAAGCTAGGGTCAGGGGAAAGCTTAGCCAGCAGGCAGCTGTGAAGCTGGACCAGTAACCATCACCAGGTGAACACCAGTGGGGAGGTGGACAGGATGTGCTCAGACTCTGGGTGCAGACTCCATGGGACTCAAACAGTCACGCTCCTCTGTAGATGGAAGAGGAGCAAGACAGTAGGTTTATTTTGAATTCTTCTCAAAGATGAATGGATGTATTAAGGGCATGACTTATATTTAGCCCCTCTTTTTGCATCATGGCTACATCCTGGTGGCATTTTGTTCATTTTGCCTAAACTTAGCAGAGTTCCTTTTCAGATACACTTTCCCCACTTGGCCAACACAATTCCTGTCACCTCCCCAGGAGGACATCAATGGAGGTCTGAGCTCTGAGCACAGAGACAACACATGGTTTTAGGAGGCCAGGTTCTGACATGGGACATGCCATACACCCTGAGAGAACTACTTCTGAATAACTGACGAAGTCTAATTTAGACACATCATTCTACCTTTTTAGGCCACGATTCTGGAAATTATTTTCCTAGGATATTTTTCTTCTCAAGTTAGAATGAACAATCTCTGTTTCCATCAGGCTAGCTTGTTGTCTTACAAAACCTTTCCTCTCTTGTATTCTCTGCCCTTCACCGCCATGATGGGGTCCTCATGAGACTGCCAATCCCACAGCAAAGGGAGAGGAGGCCTCTAAATTGTTTTCCATCACCCATGTCTTAATTACTCTAAGCATCACATAAGGGAAATTTTGATGAATTTCATCTTCTAACACAAGCAATGTGGCATTCTCAGAGACAAATGATCTGGGTTCTCCAGGGTTCTTTTCTCTCCTGTATAAATCTAAGGGGGGTAGATTAGATGTTTTCTAAGGTTCCATTCACTTTTTGTGACCTGAGAAATGGCTTTCTAGTAAAAGTGCCAGAGAAGGGTGGGACCATCACGCATGTCACCCTGGTGACATGTGTGTGTGGAACAGAGAGTCCTGGATCAGGGATGAAAATCCTTGTAGTATAAACTACCAATAGGGCTTCCCAAAACCACTTCAAAGCTTTATGAAAGCCGTAAATAGGGTGATGCTGACCAACTGAAGCAAGGTATATATATAAAAGTGCTTTGCAAACAAAGTCACATACAAAAGTTGTTCTATTAGGATAATAGAAAAGAGGACCCCAGACACATTTCTTAGGCTCTAGATTTTAGGTCTCTACCCAGTTTAAAATAAAGCTATTTAGAGGTCCCCCATCCAATTCCAGCACTTGCAATGGAGTTACAATCTATCAAAGATAATAAATAGGCAGACAATAGTAATTGCTAATGACAGAGGCCAAAATTTAAAAAAATACCTAGACAGTATTTTTATAATATAATATAAACCAACTGTGTCACTGCTGAAAGTGAAGGCTTCATTTGAAAGACATTTTGGAAATTTGCATTGGTTTTGTAACACATTATGCCAGAAATGTTTATATTTAAAAAAAAATCATAGGCCTGTTTTCAGTAGAGGCCAGTGAAGAGCGCCCCAAGGTAAAGTCATGATGCTTCATGTCCATGCCTTAGTCCTGCCCCAAGTTCCTGTGCAATCTTAGAAAAACATCTTAATTTTTAAGGTCAAGTTCCCCCAGTTACAGTGAGAATTCATAACAGATTCTCAGTGTTTTTATGTATTTCTCTCCCCGTAGGTAAGTTAAAGGAAAGTGATAAAAACATTTGCAAGTGCTCTTTAAGTATTTCAGATAAAAGATAATGTAACACAGCCAAGGCACCACTTTTATTTTTTATTATTTATTTATTTATTTTTGAGATGGAGTCTCGCTCTGTCACCAGCCTGGAGTGCTATGGTATCACCTCGGCTCACTGCAACCTCCGCCTCCTTGGTTCGAGCGATTCTTCTGCCTCAGCCTCCCAAGTAGCTGGGACTACAGGCATGCATCACCATGCCCAGCTAATTTTTGTATTTTTAGTAGAGACAAGGTTTCACCATGTTGGCCAGGATGGTCTCGATCTCCTGATCTCATGATCTGCCTGCCTTGGCCTTCCAAAGTGCTGGGATTATAGGTGTTAGCCACCGTGCCTGGCCTCTAACTTTTACATAGCTGGCATGCCCTAAATTTTGTTTATAAATAAAATCTGATAAATGTGTTAGGAAATGGATATGAAATACATTTATAAAGTGAAGGATTTCTTTAAAACCCCCACATTAAGTAAACATGTAAGTCTATATCTTCAAAATCAATTTTTCTAAAAGCACAGTCCACCTGCAGTACCATTTACATTAAGCAGACAGAACTATTTATGGAGGTCAGCAATAAGAGCTATCTTCATGTAGGTACCACACTTTAAGGAACATCAGTGGCCAGCTGTGTCACTGATTTAGACCAACAGAAAACATCTAACTTTGTGGAAAAGATTTCCTGGAAATTTCAAAACATAATTAAATAATCACAGAAGTTGGCCGCAGTGGCTCATACCTATAATCCCAGAACTTTGGGAGGCTGAGGTGAGAGGATTTCTTGAGCCTCAGAGTTCGAGGCCAGCCTGTACAATATAGTGAGATCCTGTCTCTGCAAGAAATTTCATAAAACTTAGCCAGGCATGGCACATGCCTATACTGTAGTCCCAGCTACTTGGGAGGCTGAGGCAGAAGGATATTACTTGAGCCCAGGAGTTTGAGGCTGTGTGAGTCATGATGGTGACACTGCATTCCAGCCTGGGCAATACAGCAAGACCCTGTCTCAAAAAAACAAAACAAAACAAGGAGGAGAATAACCAGGAATCACAAACAAGATGACAATTTTCAAGCTTGCTTTCAATGTCTATCACTTTACTAAGAACAATATAAGAAATTCATTGTATAGATAAAAATGATATGTGCACTATTCCAATATTTATTTTCTATTGCAGAAGAAACCAGGAGAAAATGTTTTCTGGTTTATCATCATTAACACAGCACCTCAAATAGAGTAATATTTAAAAATAGTCAATGGGGGGGTGGTATATTTACACACACACACACACACACACACACACACACACACACACACAATTTTTATATTTCCTGATTTAACAAAGACATGCTCTTGGGAAGCTGTAGACCTTATTGAAAAGTCTTAGAATCTTTCCTTCTTTTGTTTTCTGCAGTACTTAAACAGCCTGTATGAATCATTTGGCATGGGTGAAATGCCTTGTATCTTTTCGTGCATATATTTTTGTCTATACAACTAAAAAGCGAGCCTCTGGAAGGAATTTCCCTGTGGCACTAAGCCCAATGCCTTATGCATAACCTGGGTACATTAATCATTGATTGACATGTGCATTTGCAAGGAGGAGCCTGGTAAGATACACTCAAAACCTTTATTCATTAATTTACAAAATGTACAACATTTACAAAGTTTAGGCATTAATCCCATATTGACATGAATGCTGTGGAAAGTCTAAAAATAAATAGTGGCACATAGCTTAATATACACATCATGGCTCTTTACACTTAAGCCATTACCAATGGTGAGATTTAATGGAAAATTTAATGTGGTAGAAAAGTCAGATGGCTGACCAGTCCTGGACCTTCCACATGAATGACCCTTCCTTGGCTCCTTGAGGCTGGGAATAGTCAGCAAATCACTTTCTTTCAAGAGAATTAAACACAAGCCATTCTGACAGGCACATGGGCTGCATGCAGCAACATCTATGCAGAGTCTGTGAGCACTCCCTGGGTGGTGGCTGAATCTGCACCATGGTGGACCTGATCCCTGTACACCAGCCAGGGAGGCTTTGGTGTGGTCACTTTCTTGTTTCTTATTCAATCACATGCAGTACTTGGAAGATGTCAGTGGAGTGTAATCATGCACAAAAATGGTACTTGTAGATATGTACAACATCAAATTTTCATTGTCTTATAGCATCTTTAGATGCAACATCAACTATCTCCTCTTTTAGCAAGAGGGATGAATGAGGAAGCCAAACCCCCAACTCCTCAAAAAAAAAAATCTGGGGACACATGCAAATGACATCCTGCAACAGCAGGGTGAGATAAACTCCACATGACAAGATGGATGAATTCCCATGAAGTCAGGCCTGAAAGTTTTCCTAGGGGGATAATTCCACCTTTCTTTTCTCTTCAATCCCACCTTATCCCACATAACCTAAATCTGAAGGAAACAGCTTCACATCATTGCATTTTTTTGAGTTTTGGTACCTTCATGTGTAAAGTGTAAATACTAGTAACATTCCTTATAGGATTCTTGCAGAGATTAATCCTAACTTGTGTAAAGTGCTTAGCATAGTGCCTGGCACATACGAGGTGCTTAATAAATGTCTTGCTTTCTCTCTCTCTCTACTTTCCCACCCCAATTAAAAGCAACACATTGATAAGCCTAACAAACTCTGAATTAAGGCCATTTGATGCAATTTAGATTATTTTGTATCAGAGCTACTGCTGTCAGGTTCATATTTAGTCCCTGAGGGAGTTTCATTTTATGAGCCAGAGACATTTTTCTATGGAGGGCAGATGGACCTTGACAACACCGTCCTCTTTATTAGCTATGGTTCTACCAAGTTTCACACAAACACATCCCGCAACACTACACAGAAACTTAGACCAGTGATGGTCACCACCTGAATAATTCCAGGACACCATCACTGAAGAAACCATGAGAAAAATCCTTGAGGCAAACATATTGCTCTTGCTCAAAACATGTTAACTTTTTTTCAACACTGGTGAAAGTAGTATAGATAACTTTCAATAAACATATATTAAAAGCTCTACCACTGTTGAAAAATATGTATTCTAATTTGATCACTTTGTTCAGAATAAAGAATTTTTTAGAATATATTTTAGTTTCTAGTTATGCCATACAAAAATAAATACTGTTTAAATTATTTACAAGGAAGAAGAAAAACTGTAACTTGGGGTACCAAAAATACAGGAAGGATGACAAAAATTTTCCCATTTACTTCAAAAACAATTTCTAAAAGAAATGAAAACTTCCCATTGAGCCTCCTTGGTAGTCCTGCAATCACCTCACTGGTCTACCTTCTCATCATCACATATTATGCCTTCTTTCCCTATCACTCTAAAGACAATTTAATGCAGAATCTTCTCCCTAAAGTCACTGGGCATTTGGAAGTGGGGGCTCTTTGGCAGTATGAACTGCAGATGCCATAAGAAGTTGGCTGAGCCATCTAATGGGCCCTCAGAATGTACTAGGACTAATCTCCACACATTGTCCTTTCATTCTGAAATCCTGTCTAGCTTATCTATGGCCGAATAGAACTCCATATCTGGGGAAAACAACTCCATCCTGCTTTGGGGCTCTGGACACAATTGACCTAGGTGGAATCTAGGATCTCATGAAGCATAATTAGGTGCCAAGTCAAGAAGAAGGCTGATCTCACCTAGTCTATGAAGGGATAACACAGCCAGTTTATGGACACTGGCTCCATTAAGTTGGGGAAAATCTTCTTCCAGGCACACCCACAAATATAAAAAACTTTTGAGACTGCCTTTTTGTCTTCTGCACAGAACAGAGGGAATGTGATTCCCTGCACTGGGAGAATGTTGGGAAAATTAATTGAACAAATGGCTGGAATTGTTGGAATTACTATTCTTCCAGGGACTCAGAATCTCCAGGGACACAGTCCATTCATTTTGGAGTCAATGTTTTAAAATTCTAAAGCTACAAGTGAATTCATGATTATGTTTAAACCAATGGTTCTTGACTTTTCTCCTGGAAATCCCACATCTATACATGCTCCTATAACATACTCATATCTTAGAAAGTCTCAGGACCCCCTGTATCTCATGTGTGCATTCTTCCAAATTAAGAACCCTAGATCTCGATAAATTGCAGAGTACTTCTTGGAATGAAAACAAAGTTTTGTGTTATATAACTCAGGCTGTATTGACAGAAGGCTGGCTTTGATGGGTCTTTGTTAGACTCAAAATGGCTACAATGAAGCAACATTTATTCCATGATCATGTAAAGTGGCAATGCTTGGCTGTGATGACCTCCAAGAGTGTTGTGTCTCACATGTGTAATTACTGTCAGGCCATTGACTAATGCAGGACTGTGGACCATCAAGATCCCCATGGACTGCTATTAACACATGGAGCCATTGAGCTGCTATAACATGAGCCCTAACCACAACCACAAACAGGACACTATCACTGACATACAGCGTGGGTGCCTGTTTGTCTGATTTATAGGTGATGTCGTGGCAAATGTGGCATCAGTTTCATTTCGGGGCAGTGGCAAATTACAGATATTTCCTTCACAACAAGAAGTGCAGACCTGAAAGAAAGGAAGAAGAAAAGATAATGAGAAGCCAGCATGTCTTGGAAGGAGGCAGGGGTTTATGAAGGAACTGTCTCCCACACGGCAAGACTCAAGCAAAAACTACCTGATCTACAAAGGGGATGCCAACTGTACTTTCAGGAAGCCTGCTGATAATATTTCATCTAGAAGCAATCCGGTCACCATGAAAACTTCCCAGACCAAACTTCAAGAGATCTAGATTTTGCTTTTGACGCCCCTACCCCATATGATTCTTACAAAGGTGTGTATCCTTCCTGGATTTTTCACCCTTAAAATGGGAATAATGAAAATTCTCCTTCCTTTACCATGAGGCTCTTTCTGACTACTTGAGGAAGAGAGGGTAAGCCTTCATCTACCAAGTTTTCAAGTGAGAGTCAAGTGGCAACAACCGGGGTAATTTAAACTTGCGTATTGACTTTCGTTAGAACTATCTGCATAAGTGTCTCCATTTTCATTAAGTGAGTTAATGTTTGAAGGGTTTTCATTCATGTAGTTACTCCTGCTTTATACCACCTTACTCATGGATCATAAGAAAGAAAGAAACCCACAGAATTAGTGACAAAAATTGTCTTGGGGGCATGGCCACACAAAGTACAGACCAGTAGCTCACCATCAGCTGGGAGTTTGTTACAAGCACAGAATCTCAAACCTTGCCCCAGAGAATGAGAATACATTTCAGCAAGATTTCCAAGTGATTCCTAGTCATAGGATGGTTATTAATAATATTCTATACAGTCATTATCCTGCAGGGACTTGAATCTTTAGTCACAGTTGACATGGGCCAGGGAGACGGTATAATGTTGAGGAGACTCTAAACTAGAGGTGAGTTGGAATTCTGTTGTCCCTGTCACTTACCAGCTGTGTGAACATATGACCCAACTTCTCTAATCCTTAACTTTCTCCTTAGTAAAGAGGCCACAGTAACACCTCAGAATCAAGCCCAATTTGCTAGAGAGGTCAGGGAAAGCCTCTGGTTTTGCTCATTTTTGAACCAGGAGCAGAAAGGGCAGATTTAAAATTTTAATTATTAGTGTATTCAAGAGGTTGCTTGAAAATTAGGTGTCTACCTTCTTAAAAAATAAAAATAATAATTTAAAAAAGCCCTTACTGACAGTGCTGCTCCCAGGTATTGAGAGTGTGCATTGCCCAAACCACCAGGAAGGCTGCCTGCAAGGAGAAGTGTTCAATGCTAAATAAAGGCCAAGGTCTGATGTATTCAGGTCACAGGTACAGCAGGAGGGTGAAGCTACCTTTCTGTGATTCTTTATACGCCCCTTCAAGGCTGCCTCCCAAGCTCATTTTATACTGAGTGCTTCTGTATACAGACACCAGGTGTTTCTGTACACAGGCTTCTACAGGCACCAGGTGAAGCTTAACCAAACACACAAGATAGCTCTCTCATCACCTATCAAATGACTCAAGAGCCAATGGAGACCCTCCCCACACTGACATCGAGTCACAACATGTACCCCACTTTACAGAAAGTTATCAAAGCTGAATTGCCTAGGTCCTACTGTGATGAATGATCTGGGTACATCTGCAAAGCTTCACCGTGATGGACATAACTGGTCCCTTGCTCCTCTTTTTTCTGATAGCTTTATTACTTTTCTCTGAGTGAAGAAATGATTTGTAATAACACTGAATACCCTCTTGATGTGTGTTTACACAATTTATCTCAGTTGCCCTATGCTCTGGTATAAATGTGTATTCTTTTAGAGCAAACAGGAAAGGAAGCATCTTTTCATAGAGCATAAAGACAGTCAAAAGGCATCCTTTTTGGGGGAGTAAGAATCTGCTCATGAGTACTGGCGGATGTCCGAAGAGGAGGCAGTTGGCTATGCAGTACTGGTCACTTGTTCTGTTGCCCAGACCTTGTGGCCTTCATGCTCGGAGTCTCTGCAGCCCGTGGATAAGCACTCTTCTAGTGGGACGCAGCGTTTGGTGACTGAGATACTGTTTCCTGTGACTTCCATTGTGTGCTGAGTGTAGCAGTATCTGGTCTCTGTCAATAGAGAAAATATGTTTTATTTGAGGTGAGAAATGTTAGCCCAACCCACCTAAAATGAAAACACGAGTGGCAACATTATCATTCCAGAAAAGACCTACTAGCACATAAGATGTGCACTGCTTTGAGTTTATGTCCAATCCTGAAAACCTTGGAGAGCTTTGCTTTGCCATGGTGGGAAGACAGCCTTCAAAGAATATTTCTTTGCCCAACGTGATCCCTATAAACCAGGACACAGTTTCTCTTTGCCTTTCAGCATATTTTGCCACCGTACTGATTTTCATTTTTAGGGGATGAGTGGTTTGGGGGCATGATTTAAGAGGTATAAGTCGCGGCAATTTTGAGGAAGACGAAAGGACAAAGAGGTTCAAAGAATTCAGGGTTAAAAGGAGTTAGGCAACAGTGGTCCTCAAGGAGGTAAAACTCTGCAAAAGTGGCTGGTATGTGTGTCTTAGGGGGAAGCAGCTATTCACAAGAGCAGAACAATTTAAAACTTTGTGCCAATGAGCATAGCTGGGTCCTAGGATCCATTACAGAGGAAGAGTGACTCAATAACGCACATTTTTCCAAAACTAAGGCGCTTCATTTCTCCCTAGCATGATTTCAGTGTCTTCCCAGGACCACAGATGAAGACCGTGGTGGGAGTTTCCAGAGGTCTCTCTGTGGCTAATGAATCTGAAAGCTTGAGATTTCTTCCAAAAATCTTTGGGGAACTTTTTATGTGTAATTTAAAAACTAAAGAAAAATGGCTTTGTTAATGTAATTCTTTAAGGCCTCCAGGCAATGTTCAGCTCTCTCAGCCTGGGATTTAGGAGAATGTTCTTGCTCTACTTTCACATTAAAAAAGAAAATGAGTAATTCTTAAGAAATGTCACTGAGCTGTTTTTTATCCACATCTTGGACCCAGCTTTGCATGCTTTATACAGTTCAGATATTTAGTGGCTAATATGGACTTATGACCTCTGATGAGATTATTAGGTAATAAAAATTCCCCCCTAAAGATTCTGTCATGATTTTGGCAGCTTTTAACTGAAGAACTAATGTCCAAAGAAGAACGTATAGGAAAATTTTAAGCCCTGATAATGAGCTAATACAGACCCATCAATGCCTCCTGGAAGTCATAAAAACTCAGGAGTTTTAACAGTCTTTCCTAGAGATCCTTACTTGACAGAAATCTCAAATGGCCTCAAATCAAATCGTACTGAGAGCTGCCACTTTCCCAGTAGTAATGCTATTGATAGGTGTGCCTGGGCAGAGTCTGTGTCAACACTCTCCCCTAAATGCTGTCCCATACTGCACCCCAGCTGGGATTGTTAGTTGGATTGGGTTGAGGCTTTTTCCAAGGTTGCTCACGGTCCTGCAGAGCTCCTTAGGAGTAGGATAAGGTCATGTGGGGAACTCATAATAATAGTTGAAAGTTTTATACTTGGCAATAATTCTCCTAAAGCTTTAAACTAGCTTAACACTGGAGTGATTGCTTTTCTGAGGAAGAAGAGGAAGCAGCTCTCCTCTTTTTTAAGCATTTGGCAGATTTTGACAAATGGAGGCCAGTGGCCTGGGAGATTTACCCATCTTCTAAGAGGACTGGTTTACTTCTTTGGTATCAGACTCAATGGATGTTTATGGTCAAAACAGGTTCATCTCTCCCCACTACACACACACAACTTCAAGTGTTCTAGAAAGCAATAAAATCAGGAATGTTCTTATCTCCTGTCTTCTCTTCCTGCAGACAGCTAAGAGCAGCTGCCAGAGGTTTTACTGCTCCAAATGTAAATCTGAGCAGATAAGATCATAAGACTATGGAATAAGTAAATCACTACATAGCTGCAGTTTTGGAAATTAGCCTTTTCCCCCAAGTAGTGAATTATCCTGTGTTAAGTAAGCCTTAAAATAACAACTGAACTTCATGTGACTTCTTTGTTCATACTTTTCTACCCTTAACAAAATATCTTATACATTTATTAATGGAGAGCTTATTCTATTGAATGAAAGTAGATACAACAACTGATGAAAATATTTTTTTAGGAAAACATGCAAAACCTTAATACCTAATAAGCTGATTTTTCATTCTAGGGGTAGAAGGGAGATCAGTGAATTAAGAATTTTTTCTTGTGCTTCATCCAGTCCAATCCATGAAACAAAAATATATGGAGAACACTGCCATCACTTCCAGGAGTACAGACGTTAGTGCTGAAGCATCAGTCTCTCAAAAGCATCCATCCCACTTATCTTACAAAATCCCTAGGTGAGTTATGAAATGTCAATGTGGAAGAAGGTTCTGTGGTTTAATGAGTTTTGGAAATGCTCAAAAAGTTGAACAGGTTTCTTCAGTGCACAGTTTATGAGAACCTTCTATTTCTATATGTGTTGTGATCTTGTGATTTCCAAAGGTATATTGGGGTGAGCAGGCAGAATTTCCCAAGTAGAACTAGGTGGGCCACAAGTGGCTTATCACTGGACTGAAGTAGTGATGAAAACCAAGTTTCAGCCACAGAGCATTGTTCTCCATGCATTTTGAATACTCCTTGAGTTAGTAATGAGGTTATATGAGAATCAAGCCTGCTGATAACTTCACACTAAAAGGATTTCAAAGGCTTTTATCTAAAAGATAAAAGATAAATTTGAATTTCTACCAGGTTAGTTTCAGTCTCTAAAATCTCATATTCTGCAACTACACGGTATTCCCAGAGGTTGTGAAACAAAAGTCTTTTACTGTTAGGTTTACAGGCATTCAACTAAATCAGGAACGGAAAAGAGAACTTCATCAGCAACTGGACAATAGAATTTTTATGAAATTCACACACATGCGCATGAATGTTCAGAGTTCATAATCAAGTTCTGAAATTTAAAAGTAATCCAAAGCTAAATTGCAAACTTTAATTTACCCACCAATAGTTTTAAATAACAAACCATAAACAAAACATACATAAGATGATTTGAATTAAAATGAGACATTTAAAATGCCCAACTTTCTTATAAAAGGCTTTCTCGCCACTCAATTATTCTTCATGGCCCTGCTAGTTTTAATTTCTTCATAAACACACAGATTGACAAAAATGATGCTAGAGAATAATCCTCCAGGTGCAAGAAAATTAATAGGAGGAAAATATTTAATACTAATATGACAAATTATATTGAAAAATAAAAGGCCAGTCAGTCGCAGCTGCCTGCTTTCTCCCTGCCCCCATTCCTTACTGATCACGCAGCTCTTCACTTCTGCCACACTACTCCCCTGCAACAGCTCCCTAACTGTCAAATTCCATGCCTTTTCCCATGTCTGATCCTGTAGGATCTCTTTGTGACTCTGGATAATCTCATCTGTGGGACTCTCCATCTTAGACTTCAGAGTTCTGTCTTCTAGATGTTGTCCTAATCTCTGGTCTCTCCACTTTCAACACTTTCCCTAATACGAAAGTCAATATTGTCCCATGTTCTGTCCTGGAACCTCTTCTCACTCAAGTGACTTCATCATACTTCTGATGCCATGTCTTCAGTCTGACAGTTTCTCCTGAACTGTAGAACCAAATTATAACTATCTCCTGGACACTGCCAGCATCAGCTCACATCTAATGTGTCTTAACCCAACACATTGTCTCCCTCCCCCTTGCATCTTTTGATCTTCACGTGTCTCTCTCTCTCAGGAAGGGACCTCCTAGGATATCATACCTCCATGTTCTCCAGTAGCTTGGACTAGGAATCTGGAATCAACTGAGACTCCTCTGCTTAATCTGGGACTCTCCAAGTCCTCTGAATGTCTCCATTATCCATCTGGTCTTTTCTATTTTCCATTTCCTCAATTCAGGACCTCATTGTTTCTCGTTTTCTTTGTCTCTGACATGCAACTTACCAAACTTGAAAGCACGAATGCCACCTAATTGTCAAAAAGTCCTGATTGCTGAATTACTAGGCTTACTGGCCTACCTGAGTGTGTTAGGGATAGGCCATTTCTCTCTCTGCTCCTGAAGTTGTGTGTCAAGTACATTGGAGTAACTGCACTTCCCTGATAGAACCGTCAATTAATTTCACTTCTAACTCAGAGCTTGGCATTTGAAACTCAGCCCTTTTACTCAAGGTTTTCCTTGATGGAGGCTCCAAACTTTCTCATTGCCTCATATATACCTTGAGATATAGTATGACAACTTTTGATTATTCATGATGAAAAATGTGCACTCTTAGCTTGTCTGCATATTTTTTCCTATTTTCTACTCCTGGACACCTGATATTCTTCAAGGCTCAATCCAAATGTGACAAATTCTGTGAGAATTGCCTGATCTTCCAATTAGGTCAATGTTAATCTTTTCTCTTCTCCATGTTGCCCCTTCCTTAACTTTCTCATTTGGAATATCTGCCTTTCCTTCTAAATCAAAGTTTCTGAAGTTTGAAACAATTGACTTTTTGTTTTTAAACTTTTTAAAAAATTTAATCTATTGTTTTGAGATAACTGTAGATTCCCAAGCATTTGTAAGGAATATTAATAGCAAGATCCTCTACACCCTTTACTCAGTTTCCCCAAATGTTAGTGATTTAACAACTGCAAAACTATATTACGATATCACAACTGTGATATTGACATTAATCCAGTCAAGATATAGAACATTTCCACAGCCATAAGGATCCCTCATTTTGACGTTTTCTAGTGACACCCTCATCCCTCCAGCCCCCACCCCTTCCTTCACCCTTGGCAACCACTATATGGTACTGCATTTCTATAATTTTTTTTTTTTGAGAATGTTATATAAATGAGTTATACAGCATGTAATATTTTGGATTTGGGCATTTTCACTCAGTCTCATTCACTGGGTTGTTGAGTACTAAGAGTTCGTTAATTTTTATTGTTGAGTAGTAGTCCATGGTATAGATGTACTAAAGCTGGTTTAACCATTCAACCATTGAAAAGACATCAGGTTTGTTTCCAGTTTAGAGATATTATTAATAAAGCTACTACAAACGTTTATGTAGAGGTTTCTATGTGAACATGTTTTCACTTCTCTGTATGA